CATCAGTTACTGTTCTGCAGTAAACTTTTTCAATCAATTTTTATTGTATATTGGAAACTTCAGATTGTTTGTGTATTTGGAGTCTATAGAATTTCTATGGATTTTTTAAAGAATTTTTATAGAGTTTTTATAGAATTTTTAATATATCAGGGAATTTCATTTTTATTAACCTGATTTTTAAATTTGTTAGGCTGCTGAGTTTCATACTACGATTTCTTGTAGTCATTATCCTTTCCTTTAGCCCTCTGTTAGAAAACCTGCTAACCCTTCTTGGATATCTGCTTGTTAGGTGCATCTGCCTTATTTAGTCACGTTATATTTTACAGTTTTTATCTCCTGTTTTCTGAACAGTTTCTTGTTCCACCTCCGTCTAAGGCAAAGATGCACACTCTCGTTAATTTAAGTATCATTTACAGCTGTGCATAAGGGTTAAATTTAAATTATTTAACCTTTTGGTGCTGTATAAAAATAACATTAATTTATTATTATTATTATTATTATTTAAAAATTAGATATCTTTTGCTAAATTTTAAATTTTAAGTCATAGAGCAATCTTCTTAATTTTAAAATTTTTAAGAATAACTTTTAAGTTAACAGGATTAACTTGTTTAATATGATTATACGACAAATAGAAATAAATTTAAAACTATCCGTGGTTTTTTTAAATAAATTATAATCTTACCTAAATCCAAAGCCAGCTTTGTAAAATTTACTATTAGATCATAATATATCGTCAATTCTAAATATTTACAATGCAACATTTCATTAATCTACATACAAGCGTACTCCAGCCCCTGCACGCATCCGTTCTTATGCGGCGCGGCTTTCTAATAAATATCGTGTCAATGTGTACGTCTAAATGTTCATGTTTTGTGTAAACCGAATCCAATTGAGATTAGTGACAAGGATAAGGACCCAAGTGCCTGTACGGCTTTTTCGGACCCCTGTGGACCACTACTCTTGAAATCGCTCTACAACTATTGAACATTTATAACTGTTATATAATATATAACGTCATTTGACAATTATTATCACTAGCAGGAACCCGTCTAACCCTTAAGTGGTGTCAAGACTCAAGAGACTAAAACAATTATTACCTATTTAATTCGCGTTTTTGACACCACTTGGGGGTCCAAATTTTGGGTTTTAAAACTCCTATTTCTTGGCCAATTTTTTATTTTTTCATGCTGATTTGAAGGCCATTAAAGCATTTGACCCAGTCATTTGACCCCCTTTTTTTTTTTTTTTGACCCAGTCAAAAAGTTTCAGTTGTATATATTTTACGGTTTTTGCAGAAAGTCGTGTTAAAGTTGATGCCGTGGTGTCAGTAAAATGGCACGGATAAATATATATATATATCGTCTCGCTTTATACATAGTAAGATTAATCTACAATCTAACTGTCTTGCTGAGGGGGAGGAGTAAACGCTTCACAAACTAAAATACTTACAACATACAAAATTTAAAACCATCGACACGGTTATAGTTAATATCAAGGGCCAATTTGGTATACCTCTATTTCGTTGTAATATTTAGTATATCTTCACATCTTAATACTATAATGAAATACAATAGGATACATGTTTCGAGAAAGAAAGGTTGGTCCGATTATTAACAAAAGTAAACAAAAGTCCAACAGGGACTCCGTGGAGTCGAAAAAGGTACACGGCCGCTGTCTGGTGCTGCTAGGCATTTATTGATCAAGATGTTTTATTGTATTGGTTTTTTATGATTCTATTGTTCGTGACTAATCAAGTTCTAAGTGGAGGTATAAAGTGCTGCTTAAGATACTTCGTCATCTCATGTCCAGTATAATGAATAAGATAGTAAACAATACAGTTTCAGTAGTTGACCCATACATTTAAGTCCGTCATAACTAACAACCAGTTAGAAATCACAGACAATAAAGCAGTCGAGGATGCAAAAAAAGCCATTGACACACTCCTCTCTAGCTCCAGTGCTAAGATCGTCGTCTCCCTGCCCACTCCAACTCCTGGCCCATTAAGTGATCTAACAAAACAATTTGTTTCGGAAATCACCCAATTTGTCTCCACTAAAAGAAAACTAAGTGACTTAATAAGTCATTTAGTTCTCTTTTAGTGGAGACAAATTGGGTACCGGCCCCTCTTCACTGTAAACAACACTGGAAACGTTTCCGGCCGTGCCATCTCTGCTGCCGGGCCACCCCAAGACTCTCCTAACCCACTGAAGGAAGATTGACGGATGTTACTCGTCTAAATTTCTTCGAAGTAGCGCGCGCCGCTTTCTTCTCAAATGGCCCGATGGCAAGTGCTACGGGTCGGGCCAGACCATTAACAATGGTCAAAAGGAAGACCAACTTCATGTCTCAGAGTATGGTCTAAAAAAACTTTGTGTTAATATAAAACCTTTATTGTGCCTTTATCGTGCCTTATTTAAAAAAAATAATTTAAATTTAAGTAAAACAAAATTTAAATTTTATTGCCATATTACAATGAATAATAATATCATAATAAACATACTTAAACATAAACATCAGATAATAAACTCCTAAAAATTAGATATGCTCTTGGAGGACTTCGCCGCTTCGCCGCGCCGCGCAAACTAGCATTCTTGCTTCGCATCGTCAATCGTTGCTTTGTTTCGCAGAGCAACGATAAAATACGCTTTTTACTATATCATATATATACTGCTCGAAAATTTATCTCAATCATAAATTTGTATTAAGTAAAATACAATTTTTTTAAAGTAAAATACAATTTTTATTTTCCACAGAAGAATCAATACATATTGAATTATAAATATCCGATAATTCCATTAATAATCATTAAAAGTTGCTTTGTAAAATCAAAAACGAAAAGCCGTACGCTGAACGCGCGCGGCATCTTTTCGGCAGCAATTCCTAAATTAAATCAATAATCATGTTAATATGAGTATTCAACACTACTCGACAACAAATATTTGCCGGCCCATCGACGATTCAGTCGCCGAAACAAAAATCAAATGATTGCTTTTTCGTTTCGGGAACTGTTTGAACCCATTATTATATCCGACTAATCATACTTTATAATTTTTAAAAAACAAAGCAAAGTAAAAAGATGTTCCTCGATGGACCGGCATTCGCAACTGCGAAACGTACGACAAACACCACCACTAGCCCTTAATTGATGTTACAGGAAGCCAAAGAGAAGACGACCTAGTCACGGTTACCTGGGGACCTCAGGCTATTATGTTCATAAACACAACCGAATAGAGATTAGGCGGAATGACAGGCTGAGCGCGGCCCAGTAAAGTCACGGCAGCGATTAAAGAGATAAGGAGTGAAGTTGATGAGCAAAAAGTAATCAGTTAAACAAAAAATTCAGTTAAACAAAAATTCAATTTTATGCCATTTATTACAGAGTAAACAAGTTTACAATAAATCAATTTGATATTTAAAGGAATCCTAATTCAATGTGTAGTATGGTTGTCACTCTTTAAATAGATTAGATATAGGTTGACGGGGCAAAGGGGTGTGCGTGCTGTTCGCTATTGCTCACACCAAACGGCAACCTAGTAAATGTTTTGTATGGACACCGGTCTCCATCACGATACAAAATTAGGATTGTAGAATTTATTGTATAACTTTTAGTGCAGTGGAGGAAGCGGTGTGGTGCATTAATAGAGTGACAGCCTACTGATTTAGAGTTGTTTTTAACTGAGCATAATGGGTATATTTTTGGACCTAAAGGCTTTACTATGGCAACTTTAAAATTGCTTCTTTTAATCATTTATTAAATATCACTTAAAAAATATATAAATCTGGAATCTGTTCACACATGGTTGAGGCTCCGGCTAATCGGTTCTCACTTCCTGACTACGAGAGTTCACAGATCTCCCCCTCCTTTTGTTAGGTCCATGGAAAGGTGAAGAAGTGAAGATTAAGGCCAGAGGGGGGGTTAAGGGGTCAAAAACATCGACCAAAATATTATTTTCTAAATCAATATAATTTTTGATGACAAAAACATTGCTGCTATTCACATATTTGTAGCTGCTTAACTTTTTTTAATACTTGAGGTTAACCGATTTTCACAAAATTGACTATACAACATTGAGGTAAATAAAATTGAGGTTAATAATTCATTACACTCCATAATTTTTTGTTATTTCGGTCAGCAAATGTTAACTCTAAATTTGTCCTTGACTGCTAGTTTGGGTTTGGAAGGACAGGTAACAAACGGGGCAAGGACTGCGCATGCCTTAAAGCTTTTGCACACACCGAAACGCTAGTTCAGTTAGGTTTTTAGAGACAAGGCTCATATTAGGACTAGAAGAAATTTGTCAGTAGACATTAGGGGTTCTGTTTATAGTTGTTACTATAGGTTGCAGTTTGTTTTACTTAAACTTCTCAGATTAAATTTAGAAAATTCAAAAATATACATTTATTTTATTAAAACTTTCTCACGCATACTTTACTCACAGGACAAGACTTGGAAAACAGTAGCCTAGGGAATTTAATTGAGATGTGTGTGACCAGCCGGTTATAATGTTTGGAAAATAACATTTGTGCAGTCAAAATCTTTTGTTAACTTTGGGGTTAAAATGTTAACAATTTTGGTTGATCTAGTGTTGTGGTTGTCAGGTGGGTCTGCCTGACGGATTAGAAGGCAGGGTTTCCTTGACGAATATGTGTAACCCTCATGTAAGGATATTGGAGCACGGAATTATTTCAATTGGCCACTGTGACTGAGCTATTAAAAGGCCAACGTTTCACACTGACTTTTGGCCCACCCTGTACCATTACTGAATTTATCTGTGTATATTGTTTCTATTTTATAAAAATCTCCAAGAGATTTGTTTGATTCAACACGGACAAACTTATTTTCAGTTTTAGAAATGGATCTTCATGTTAGGAATTTATTCTTAAAATATATTTTTTGAATATTTACTGTGTTATAGATTTATTAATTCTTTTTGTCTATGATTCTGTTTGATAATAATAAACTTCTTGCAGAATTAATATATTATTTAACCTCAGGAAAAATGGCTGAGAAAGGTCTCTCAAGTGATGAATCGGACGAAGGGGAAGATAAGATAACTGTAGTGAGAGAAACAACTACAAGACCAGACATAGTTCCTCCTAAAGATGAACTTGAATACCAGTTACAGGCTGAACTCAGAGAAAAAGAAAAAATTGCAGCAGGACATTATTACTCTGATCCCAATGATGGTACATGTTATGAATGGGATGAGAGTCAGAGGGCCTGGTTTCCACGTATCACAGAAGACTTTTTGGCAGCATATCAAATGAGTTATGGTGTGACCCAAGACAACCAGTCCTCAAGTCCTGACAAGGACACCAAATCTGTGGAGTCAACTGATGTCAAGGAATCTTTACCTATTTCTGAACAGAAAGAGGACACTGTTCAAGTTGATCAAAATGAAGAAAGTGACTGTTCAAAAACTGTCGAAGAAAAATCTGTGCCAAAGAAACAGAAAAAGGAACCTGAATGGTTTCAAATGGATGCAGATAAGAACACATGGATTTATGTGTCTGGACTTCCTCTGTCGATGAACTCTGATGAATTTCTTGCATTAGTTGGGAAGTATGGTTTAGTTATGGAGGACCCAGACACCGAGAAGAAAAGATTCAAAATGTATACCGACGACGAAGGAAACTTTAAAGGTGATGCAAAGTGCTGTTACTATAGAAAAGAGTCAATACCACTGGCAATTCAAATGTTAAACGGAACTAAGCTTCCGGGATCAACTCATAAAGTGAAAGTTGAACAGGCGAATTTCGTTTTGAAAGGTGAATTCAACCCTAAATTAAAACCAAAGAAGAAAAACAATAAGAATAAGAAAAAGCGTAAGAAACAAGATAATATGTTAGATTGGAGGGATAGGGCTGGTGGTAATGATCTACGACCAAAACACGCCAAAATTGTCATCATGAAACACTGTTTCGATCCTAAAGAGTTTCTCGAAGATGCTTGTATGATCACTGAAATTCGAGATGACATAAAACAAGAATGTGAGAAGCTTGGACCAGTGAAAAAGGTTTTTCTGTTTGATCGACATCCTGATGGTGTAGTCTCAGTTAAATTTGATACTCACGAAGCTGCTGAGGATGCAGTCAAAGGTTTTGACAAAAGGTGGTTTGGTGGCCAGCAAATACAAGCTCACCAGTGGGATGGTGTGACCGATTATGCGATAGAAGAAACGGCTAAAGACCGTGAAGTTAGGTTAGCCAGCTGGCACAAGTTCATTGGAGATGGGGAAGTGGATGAGACTGCCCCTGCTACTCCCTCAGACAAACCTTCAGAACAATTATCAGTAAATACTGAAGATCATAATATTACAGCATAGTGATCCTGTATAATTCAAATTCTTCTCAATTTAAAGGATGAGGGGACCTTAGAATTTACTTCCAAATATTCGCGTTTAAGTCCTGTGAAAGTGTGTAGAATCAAAAAATACGCCGGACTGTGAAATCGATAATTCGTGCAATATCACGCCGCGCTCCTATTGGCTGATAGCAATTTTGGGCTGTGACGTCACTTATGTGTTAAGACCAACGTGCGCGCGCACCCTTTGCTCGTGTCAACATTTTGTTCTGTTCTGTTTTAATTACGTCGTGTTACCTTTGGCGTTTGCGAGAGCGGTATCTTTGGTTGCACTGAATTAGTCTAAGTTACGAATAATTCTCTTTAATAATAATAGTTAAATGTAACTCAGAAAGGCTTTCTTGTAGTTGTAGTAGGTATTTATATTTATAAATAGCTAAGATAAGTAGCATCCGATAACTAAACCACAAGCTGCTATTTTGTTTTGACTTGTTTGAAACCCGATATGGACACAATTAAAAAGAATGTATGATGTAGTAGAAGACATTTTACCAGCTAGCCCTTGGCGCCTCTAGTCCTATCTGAGTACGCACGTGCGGTTTGACACTGTGCGTGTACCGGCCTTTAGTTGTACACTCATTTATAATTTACCGTTTTAGTTTGCTGTGACTTGAGTGTAAAGCGTAACGAATGTGGATGTGTTCGTCTGCTATGCTTGGTATAATATTGCTTGGTGTAATAGTTGCAAATCTTGCTTACGTTATAAGTAGTGTCACATAGTGAGTTAGAACTTAAAAGCTTGGTGCTTGGTGCTTGTCCAACTGGAATGAAGACATGCATTTCATACCTACCCGATCCATTTTTATTAGGACCGTGTTGTGTTGATATGACATGTTGATATATCAACTGTGGTACGAAACAGGGAGTTGCTAGGTGTTACGTTGGGAGCTATAAATATACATAATTTACATGCCTTTCTGTGTGACTTCAATCTTATTCCAGGTGTATCTCGGCTCATGGTTATCGTAGGATGATAATTCTTTTTTCAACCGGTCATAAAAAGTCTCCTCTCCATTGGTTATAGGCTCGTTAGTATCGTAAATTGTTAATTTATTCTTAATTAGTAATTTAGTCGGCCCGCACGCTCATTTTACCTGTATTTCTATATGCGCGGATCAGAGCAACTCACATAATTGACGTCACAGGTTCAAATTGTTTTGGCTGGATATCTCGGCGCGCGAATGAAATACAACTTTGCGGATTTCACTAAAGTGGTTTATACGATTAATGTAATAAAAGGATTTGCACGAGAAAAAAACTTTTTCTAAGGTCCCCTCATCCTTTAACCGTTGTGACCATGCTGTGCCAAGGAAAACTACATCGTTGTTCTGAAATTTGAACTTCAAATTCTGGTTATTGTACAATAATGGCTTTGTGGTGCAGTTCTGTACCTGGATTTTTGAGTATTTTATAGCATGTCACGTCAGCACTATTTTGTGAACATTTCTAAGGGATGTCATAACCATATATAAGACAGTCATTTTCCGTCTTCATTATTTGGAGTTCATCCGATGATGTTTGCTGTTTTTATAAGACCTATTTTAACTATCTAAATTGTTATATTGTATGAAAATATTTCGTTATTTGGCCAATGAGTTTCATTATAACATTTCAGTTTCACTTAAAAAGTAAAGTTTGAGAAAATTCTGTATTTATCTGGCATCTATCGTAGTTAACTTAAATTCTCAATATGCTTACCTCCATAATCCATGTACCTTATTCCTGTAGCCTGAACTGATGCAGTATTGTTTTGACTCTGCTTTGCTTATGACTTAAATATATCATTTTTTCCATTTCACCCTTTTGTAAAAAGGCAATAGTGAAAGGTTACGAATGGAGGTTTTTGCAGAAAAACGTGGTTTTTGGAGAAGGAGATAGGTGGGTTTAAATATGTTGTCATCTGTCCTTCCTTCCGTCCGTTACCATGCAACGAAAAAGTTGTGCGTTCGCGTGAGGATTGCTTGCGGAGATGTGATGTATAGATAGCCTCTAATACGCCCAATTCGTACGTGGCACGCGTAGTGTATTGATGTGTACACGAGTATAGTTTACCTTTGCTCACAATTTTTTAAATTACAGATACAAGTTAAGTTCTACGGCAATTGAACTGAATTTCAAGTGTTTCCCGTATTTGATGCATAATTTATCAATATTATTATCATGAAGATTGAAGTGAGCTGATTGGAGCTTATACTTAAATTTATAGTAAATGTGAAATGGAAATCTAGCGTCCACCAAAACGAAACAACGGGCGCAATTCTTGTTTAAATATAGGTTGAGAGGTGAGGGGATACTTAGTTAACACGTGATCGAAATTAACCAATTAGGTTCATGCCTCACCTTGAACCCCCCCCCCCCCCCCCCCCAAGATACGCATCTATACTTGTTAGAATTTAAACACGTTGAAGTTTTACTACCTCACTTTCTAATAATAATATTCCAATTCTCACAGAAGTAGAATGGCACTTGTAGGTAGAATCTCCCGTCAACTCTTCCCAAGACTCTACCCTGTAGTCAGCTCTTCAGCCAGAAACATCTCCTTCAACCTGAATGATCAGCAGACCGAAATACTAGAAACTACTAGAAAGTTCACTCTGGACGAGGTAGTTCCTACAGCTGCCCACTATGACGAGACCGGGGATTATCCCTGGGAAGTGCTACAGAAAGCTTTTGATCTAGGCCTCATGAATACCACTATATCTGAGGACTATGGAGGGTTGGGTTAGTTTATTGTCTTGGTTTGTGATAGTGCTTTGGAGTTCAGTGCCCTGAGCTTTCTATATATATATATTTATTTATATATATAATACAATATACATATATATATATATAATATTCACATGATATACTTTTCATGAGTTTTGGATTGTAAAATGAAAAATTACTTTTAGATTTGTATGATTTTATTTTTTTGAGAATAGGGATTTGGCTACACCAGCTATGGCTTTCATTATGTAAACTTTCATCAATTAGTTTCACAAGAAATATAATTCGTCAGGTTTGTCCCTATTGGAAGCTTGTATCGTACAAGAAGAGATCGGGTTCGGATGTACTGGTATTGCAACAGCGCTCGGTGGAAACAGGTTTGTAACATGATGTGCTGGATATGCCATTTTGATAAACATCTTTTTATATCATAAATATGACCTTGTTACATTGAAACGTAGAACAATTCCTTATCCTGATGACAGCCTTTTCCTTGTCGCAATAAACGGGAACACTACAAATTTTGCCCCAGAAATTTACAATGCATCTATATTATAATCTATATTTGACCGAGTAACATTCTCACATTTCAGTCTAGCTGAGTCGCCAGTTATAATAGCAGGTAGCCACGAGTTGAAGAAGAAGTACCTGGGAAGAATGACGGAGGAACTGCTAGTTGCAGCGTACGGTGTGACCGAGCCTTCTGCAGGCTCTGATGTTGCTTCTACCAGAACTAGCTCTAGAAAAGGTTTGGGTTATAATCACTATGCCATTGATTTACTGATAAATTACCCCAATAAATAGCCAATCAGTTGGGTAGGTAGTTGTGGAAGGATTGAATGGATATAATAAATAAAAGATCCCCGCTGACATACAATTTACTTCAGTTGGTGATGATTACGTAATAAACGGAAGTAAAATGTGGATAACCAACTGTGGACACGCAAACTGGTTCTTTGTCTTCACTCGATCGGACCCCGACCCAAAGTGCCCGGCTGCTAAAGCCTTCACGGCTTTTGTTGTGGACGCAGACTCACCAGGAGTCACTGTCGGGAGGAAGGAATGGAATATGGGACAACGGTTAGTTACATAGTACAGTCACGTGGTGTAGTCACGTGGTGTAATATTGAACATAGTTGAAAGAAATTGATTTGCAGTTATCCTCGATTTAAAGATAATTGCAATGTGTTCACTACAGCACAATATGATATATATGAGTTGTTTTAAAGAGAGTTAAACAAGTTGACCCTCCCCCCCCCCCCCCCCCCCAGAGCATCAGACAACAGAGGGGTAACATTTGACGAGGTGGTAGTGCCAGTCACGTGGTGTAGTCACGTGGTGTAGTCACGTGGTGTAGTCACGTGGTGTAGTCACGTGGTGTAGTCACGTGGTGTAGTCACGTGGTGTAGTCACGTGGTGTAGTCACGAGGTGTAGTCACGTGGTGTAGTCACGTGGTGTAGTCACGTGGTGTAGTCACGTGGTGTAGTCACGTGGTGTAGTCACGTGGTGTAGTCACGTGGTGTAGTCACGTGGTGTAGTCACGTGGTGTAGTCACGTGGTGTAGTCACGTGGTGTAGTCACGTGGTGTAGTCACGTGGTGTAGTCACGTGGTGGTGTAGTCACGTGGTGTAGTCACGTGGTGTAGTCACGTGGTGTAGTCACGTGGTGTAGTCACGTGGTGTAGTCACGTGGTGTAGTCACGTGGTGTAGTCACGTGGTGTAGTCACGTGGTGTAGTCACGTGGTGTAGTCACGTGGTGTAGTCACGTGGTGTAGTCACGTGGTGTAGTTAAACAAGCCTCCCTTTCAGAGCATCAGACACCAGGGGGGTAACATTTGACGAGGTGGTGGTGCCAGCTGACAATGTTGTAGGGGAGCCGGGAGGTGCGTTTATCAAACTTCCACAAACAAGACATGGACGTGAGACATGGGACACTGAATAAACGTGCAGAGAAAAAACAGATTAGGGACGTGTGTTAATGAAAATTTTTGGTAGCGCTCGGATTTTATTTTTAATTTTTTGGTCTCCAATTCCGCGAAATTTTTTTTTTTCTTGAAAATTCGTCTGTAAAAATTTGTTTTCACGCTGTTTAACTATTAAATAGTATTACTGAACAGTTATTCTAAAAGTTTTTTCCGTCAAAAAATATTGTTCATATTGCCTTAGGAGGCAATAAAAATTTTGCGCGCAAAAAACTTTTTTTCGGAAGTTTTTCGAAATTTTGACGGTTACCATTATCAATTTTGTTATTTCATTGATGTCAACATGTGCGGCTCATTTAATATTATAGTAACCAGAACACCTAAATTTTTAATTTAAGTTTACTATAAAAATTTGAAAAATCTCAAAAAAAGGCCATTTTTTGGTTCCAAACCACTTTTATCGATTCTACGGATTCAACAGAATTTGCGGCCCGTTGTTTTGTTGTTTTGGCGGGACGCTAGTTTCCATCACTACAACTTTAAGTATAAGCTCCAAATCAGCTCACCTCATATATTAATATTAATAAAATTATGCTATTTAACTAGGGGAAACATTGTAAATTCAATTAAAAATGCAAAAGACTGTTAGCAAAAGAAAACTATACTTGTGTACACTCAATACTTACGTTTGCATGCCACTTTTCGAGCATTATAAATGCACTGGCGCCGCAACATTCATTGACCAAAGGCTATCTATGCATCACCCCTGCAAGCAATCTTCGCGCACGCGCGCGGTTTTTTCGTTGCATGGTAACGAACGGAAGGAATTACACATAATCAAACCACCTACTGCAATCTCCAAATTCCACGTTTTTTTGCAAAAAAACCTCCATTTGTAAACTTTCACTAGTGCCTTTTTACAAAAGGGTTGTGAACGAAAAAATACGTGTTTTAAGTGGTCTGCTAGGTGATTAGTGTTCACATAACCATGTGTATACGCGATACTGCGTTGGACGCGCTTGTTTCACAAGTTGAATATATATCCTTTGCCGCATACGGCGGTCTGTGCGCTACTGCAAGCGAGAGGGCTCTGGTTAGAGCCTAAATTTTAGTGTATCGAGCAGAAAATCCCCGTAAGAGCCCTCTACTATAATTAGCAACTTTTGTGTTTTGGTTCATAATAGAGGTCTGTATCTGATCAGAAGTTACGGGGGCCGCGCTCAGCTGTCATTCCGCGAATTTTATTTTCTTCTTTATGTTAATGGAAATGATAGCTGAGGTACCAGGTAGATCAGAAGCCGAGATAATTTATTAGTGGGCGTGTCGCGCGATTTGGGTTGCGCGTCAAAAGGCGTGATTCGAGAAATGCCCCACGGTGAAAAAGTTTGTACCCGAGTATTAGTGTTATATAGGGTCATATAATCGGATTACACGAGAAAACTCCGCGGACGTCAAAATTTTCATTGGTTTATATGGTTTTGCCGTTCTTCCGTTGGAATTTAAGGCTGCAAAAACCATAAAAACCAAATTTTTACCCTTACAGGGTAAATATGCTTCACGGAGAGTTATGGGCAAAAAACCGTTTTGGCACGTGACAGCTAGTAAACATGAATTCGATTGTTTAGGCTGGGTTAGGGTTTTTAGGGTTGTGAGTAGGGGATATTGTTAGCTTCGAGTTTTGGTTAGGTTGGGTTCCGGATTAGGGTTTATGTAAATCGTTTTGTACGCTGCAAAACTGCATAAAACCAAAGTACGTGAAATTTGTGGGCGAGCGAACTTAGTTAAGAGCCGGATTTATCCTATACTACGCATTTTGTTCGATTTAGTATATTTAATTTTTACCTCATTTTTAAAAAAGGATCTCCTAAAATGTTCCGGTGAAAAATTTTGGTCCGTGGAAAAACTTTTCTCGAAAATTTTTCCAAATAAGGTATAGCGAAAGGATCGAGGGGGTTAGCCGTGAGATTTATAAAAATAGAACCGTCATCCAATGATGATTACAGATTAGGAACCGTCAACTCGTTTTTATTGTATTGGCATTGCCATTTAAACAATGCAACATTCATCGTACCTTGTTTTATACAACCAATAAACAAATGCTATTGCTAATGTGTAATGTACAATGTAGAGTGTACACTACTCAAGGTTTAGGTAGGCCTTTACAATTGGTTCGTAAGGGACGTAAGGTTATCACTGAAAGGTAAAGTTTCTTACCTCCTTTAATGCAGAATGACAGTCCGAGCATGAGCCACGGTTTAAATTTATCCCTTCACCGCCGGGGAAAGAAAACACGGTTTAATCCCTTCGCCGCCGGCGTACTCTTACAACATGAACATTCTATGATGATGATCGCGCAGACTGAATAAATTATATTGTATGTTTATTGCCCCACTTACTGGGCGCGCTCAGCCGGTCAGTCCGTTCTAATCTCTATGTTATGAACCATAATAGGCCTGAGGTTCAAGGCTTGCAACCTCTCAGAAACACTAACTCACTGGAAGTAACCTAATGAAAGTTATTTCCAAATTAATTATATACCAAATTCACTTTCCTTTTCACCGGTTGCAGTCTTGTCCAAGGACAAAAAGAATCGCGATTATTTAGGCAAAAAATCGCGGCGCGCGACCATGCCAAAACTAGGCGAAAATCGCGGCGAAAGATAGTGTACTTGCAGAGCAAAGTAACATGTCATATATTCGTTAACTAGGCTAGTTAGATTAGTAAATACTAAGTTGTATGATTTAACCTACCAGGACGCGCGCCGAGTTGGACTGTCGACGGTCTAGAGCTTGTTTTAGATCAGCCCTTCCAGTCGATCTCGAGGTTCCCTCCCCCCAGCTCGCCTGAACGGAACTCGATGTTCCACTTCGAATCTGTACTCATACACATAATATTATAAGTTAGCTTGTTTTAATATTTTACCTAACTACACGCGTTGGCAGGCTCAGCTGCTTCCACTCGAGTTTTAATTAAGAAATTTTGGAAAGCTCACTATTACAGAGAATGAAAGAGAGAGCCAAAAAATTCGGGCATTATTTTATTTCAGTGAAAAATTTGCCCATGGAACTAGATCGAGGTAACTAGTGACAGTTGACCTTACATAGTGATCTAGGGGTTGTTAGAGATAATTTTTCACCCGAAAAATAGGCCATTTTTAAACAGCATGATGTGATAAATTTCGGTAATGATTTAAGAATTAGCAATGTTTACATTTTTTATAACTCAGTAATTTCCGCTCCGTGAAATATTTATTTCCAGTTTTGACAGTTAAATTTTGATTTCTTTTCAAGCTGTATTGTACCCTAACCAAGGACTATTGAAGTATGTTGCTGTCTCGTTCTGCCCTAAATTGCAAACCACATCCTCGCATATCTACAAAAGAGTTGTTGCTTCGTTTCATTCTCCTAGTGGAGACACCTCAGTGACCGTGTCAAACTAAACAGAAATAAAACGGTATCAGAGACAAGACAGAGACATTCCTGACGTGGAAACACGGAATTATGTGCTGCTGTGAAACCTGCTTCGGCAAACAACAGTCACCAAAAAACAGGACATCCTTCGAACTGGGAATCTTCATCCTGGGGCGAAGGTTATGATATAGGGGAGTTTCAGAGCACTATGTAAGTCTGGATTGGAGTGATGGACACACAGGCTTGTTGGCCAGGACAATTTCCGTGGAGAGTACGGTCTAACCAGTCCCAACAAACCTGGACAAGTATCCTTGACCTCAGATGAGATACAACAGGTGCCAGGAGTTTTGGCGCGCCTAAAACGGACAAAAACTCCAAGGTATCGCTACAACACAGTTATAAGCAGTGTGGGGTAAAGACAAGAGATTTTCTAGCTCACTTACAGATCCATGGTATAGGATTTTGACAGGATACCTGCCAACAAAGAAATGCTTCGTATCATCGCTGATTTTGAAGTGTGGGCGTATAAGGGAGACATTATCTTGGGGGGTGGATTGTGGTGAGGTTTAAACCTAATCCTGCCAATGCTGGGTATGTGTGGGAGCTCGCTGGTCACAACAGACCTGAACTATTTATACCAGTATTGTTCGAGGTTCAATTTTAATTTCGAATTTTTCATTGTTATTTATAATCTCCACAAACTAAAAGCTTGTTCTGTTTTATCTCTATATTATCCTTCTTTGTCTGTATTAGCTATTTATGGAAATTTAAGCTATGTTTTCATTCTCAGTTTTCAGATCCCATGTAGAGTTATTCCATGCTATGGAGAAAACACGGTGAGGGAGGAGATAGTTTCTGGGTTAGCACCTTTCTTCAGCAATCTCAGAAGAAAGTCAGAAGAGAGACCAGACTTACTTTGATATCTGTGCAGAGTGCCAATATACCACAAGTCTCAACCGGTACAGACAACGACGTCTCAGAAGTCCACCACACCCTTATGACCATGTTAGGAGAGGATATTTTCCAAGATAAGTGACAACCCCTGGTCCCAGACACCGCCTCTAGCTACCTAACCCTGGATCTAGAGACTCGGAGACAGATGGTGGGAGGCGTACCTGTACTCACAGAGAGCCAACTTGGAGATCGTGAGTCGGTGGATCATGAGAAAAGTTAGAAGGAGGGAGGTTGTGGTGCTGGATAACTTCAGGGTTTTCACGGGAGGAAGAGTTTGGGAAGGACGGAAACGGGGGGGACAGGAGAGGATGGTTCGGACGCTTATGTTAATTGGAATCATCTCCAGAGGGTCTGCTGAGCCCAGTGGAGGACTGAAACCGTGCTTTATTGAGACCGAGAAACATTGACTGTTGTCAGACTGTATTATAATTTAAATGGATCGGTTGTTGAGTATAATATCTGACTGGTAATCAAACTCTTCGACGAAAATGTCGTCTTCGCCAATTTATATTCAAATATCTGGTTTGATTCGAAATGCTCATATAATATTCATCGTTTTTTATTTATTTTGGTCACGTACCTGTAACTTCACTGCACTAGGAACAATAATTTTTATCGCCCTTACTGAAACATAAGACCTAAATGCTTTGAGCTGT